CATAACTTTTTGAGTTGCAATTGCAATATTGGTAATGCATACAATCGTTAAACACACATACACATCATTAAAAAAATCTTGGATCTGGATCATGATCCGGATCACCTCCGAAATTCAAAAGCATCTAATTTAGACCAAGACACAGTTGATCGTAGGTTCTTGATTTATCCTGGTGACCAACGAACATCAAACAACAAACAAACAAACTAACCAACGCGACCAAAAACATAACCTCCGTGGCAAAAGTAACAGTGATAGTAATAATGATGTAATAAGAATAATGATAGTGCTTAAGATCATGATAATAGTGATAATGATAATGATGAAGATAATGATAGTAGTAATAATGATGATGATAATAATGATAATGATAATGACGATGGTGATGATGAGGAAGAGGAGGAGAAGAGGGAATATGATAATGATATTAGTACAGATGGCCATGCAGTATTAGGATAATTAAAACCACAACTACTTGCAACAACATCGCCACATCGGCCATCATTGCCTCCTTGTGTAACACAGGATTCCACATCACGAGCATATCTTGCAGGAGTATACCTGCAGGGACGCCAGACAGAGATACATTTCGCCAGCTCATATTTTCCTTTGCAGAGCTATGGCATTCATTACAAGAAGGACGGGGAAATTGAGGTCATTACGTATGTGGACTTCGTCGAGTACGCCGGCCCAGCCTTCAGAGCTGGGATGCGCGAAGGTCAGTGTCTGTGGGCTTCAGGCTTCATTTATTGAGATTTTGTGGTTTTTGTGATATATATAAAATGCTCTTAAAAATCGCTTAAGGATGGTGGTGTTGTTAGCTATAAACTAAGAGAAATAAAACTGAAATGTTGACGATAGTCAGTATTAGATTTATTCATCGGAAAACGGAAATAGGATCGAAAGAAGTGAAGAAAGAAAAAAAAAAACTATACCATTTCTGAAGACAAAAAAAGCTGTACCCCCCCCCCGTTTTAACATCCCCTCTAACTACATTTCAACACACAGGTGACGTCATTCTCTCGATCAACGGGCACGACATGGAGAAAGCCGACCACAAAGCCCTCGTCAACTTCATCCAGGGCTGCGGGGACAGGATGCGCATGGTGGTGCTGTTCGAAGACTGTGTGCACAAGGTAGTGTACTTTTGGGGGTCCTGTGCCTCTGACACTTTAGCGTTTTTGGGGGTACTAGCCTTGGTGAAGCTCAAACCTTAGCGGTGATTTTACATGTACTGATTTGCTGCATTGTTGATTAGGTTTGGTAATATATTTATTTTTTTGAGTTTTTGTTTCGTGTATGGATATTTTTTGTTCTCTCTCTTTTTATGTTATTTTTTTTTCCTTCTTTATAAAAATTCTGGGATGATTAGAAATTAAGCATCCTAGTATACGTAAAGAATTGAGCGAAATTATATAATAGTAGGGAATGATGCAGTAAAAAAAGATATCATTAGTATTAATATCCGGAAGAGATTTTTTTCATATTTTCTCAAGGCAGCATATATAACAGTCAAACTTTTCTTGAGATTCCATTTCCAGCAAAGAATTCGCAATGTATTTTAGACAAAATAAATATTTACATTTACGTTGCAGAAAATGTGGCATACACTTTTCTAATGTATGCCCGAGATTCTATTCACATGAAATTGAAGTCCACTCTGTTTCCATCCTTCACATGCCAATATAAAGAACGAAAATTACTGTACTTTCAATCCATGATACATGTGGCTAGTGAGAGTGAGGGTGAGTAAGTAGATAAGTAGGTAAATGAGAAAAAGAGAGAGAGAGAAGATAAGATGAGAAAAGAAAATATATACATGATAATCATATACCAGATTTTCCCCATCAGTATGTGAGTATGACCTTTAACTTCATCTTTCGTTATTTTTTGTTTGCTTGTTTGTTTGTTTGGAGAACTAAGAAAGAAGAATTCGGTCGTAAATAGAAAACAAAAAACAAATAAAAAAATCTACGAACTCCGATACGAAGAACATACACGTAACATACACATGATACACCGTGCACACACACCTCACCCCTTGCCACACACACATACACAACCATCATTCGCTATACGATCGGGGTATACTCTCCAGACAATCATTTATCAATAACATTATAAAGTTCAATGGAGTACATCTCTGGCCACTCAGAATAATGATAAATTCACAATGAACGGACGTCCCACCTAAGAATACCTAGCTGCAAGTTAATGAAATGATGGTTCAATTTATATATAAAATAACAAAGAAAATGGAATAAATGAGAAGGAAAGGCGGTGAGAGCGATGCACAGAAATCAAGGAAAATATTGAATGCTCATTTCCAACGCAAGGTTTTATAAACGCGTAGATTCACTTATTTTATGCTTAAAAGCGGAACAATCACAAGGCACAGCGCAGATTGGATATAATCACTCTGCGTTTAGGGAGATAGAATTTATGGAACCTTTTGACTGCAGATAATCGGCCGGTTTGTTGAAATTGTGGGAGGCCCGACCCAATAAATATTCATATATACGGACATGCATATTCACAGGAATTAAGGGATATCTGTCTGTCTAATAGATATACATTTATCTGTCTATCTGTCAGGTATATATGCATGTCTAGACTGATAGATATGTATTGATTTATGTGTACGTTATTATATTATTATATATGAATATTTATCAGGTCGGGCCTCGTACGATTTTAACAAACCAGTGGTATAACAGCGTAGTATTGGCAGGTAAGCTTTCCACTGGGACCAAATAGTCGTACTACCAACAACAAACCGTGTAACTAACGACAGAGGATGCTTATTTTGTAAGCGTGGGGAATTTTTGTATGAGTGTCTGTCACCAGACCAAACTACCGTAAGCGTAAGCTAGCATCTAACATTTGTATATTTCTTTTAATGGTCCAACTATCAGTTAGATTTATACTTTTGATCAGGAGATACTAGTATCAATAATTCAATGTTTGACCAACAGTGCGCGTGTTCACTCATTATTAACCTAAAGCCTAATGCTTCTTAAATGTCAGACTAATCAGTTAATCGAACAGTACATTAACTTATAGGTGATGGCTAAAGTTGAGAACGATTCTGATTTATTTTACAAAAAGTAATCTTTGGTTTTATAAGGTAAATTTAATAAAGCATTTGGTTTGAGTGACTCATTATTCCTTCATCTACCTTAAAACTGCCACCACCTCAAAACTAATTCGATATCCACGAAAAGCGCGGGAAGTCATGATGACGTCAGAATAGGCAGGTCTCTAATTCCTTAAACTCATCCAAAGTTCCTAATTATATCTTTAATTCGTCCGTTCATTCGCTTTTACATTGTTCATTTTTCTCTCGCATTCTTTCTCTCTCTCTCTCTCTCTCTCTCTCTCTCTCTCTCTCTCTCTCTCTCTCTCTCTCTCTCTCTCTCTCTCTCTCTCTCTCTCTCTCTCTCTAATTTCCCTCTTTCTCACACGAACCATCGCCATCCCAGTCCATTGCATGATCACCTAAATGTTCTTGCTCAGTCTGATAGGACTCGACTTCGAACGAGCCCAGCGAATCTCCGCCATCGCCGTGAAATAAGTTTCGCCAAAAAAAAAATATATATATATATATATATATATATATATATATATATATATATATATATATATATATATGGCAATCAGACAAAGATTAATCGATTCCACACTCCAACAGAAAGAAAAATATTTTTTTTATGGCAAGATTTTAGACATTGTAGCTGATGAACACAAAACAGAGAATTAACTCAAGATGAAGCTAGGGCTGTTCAGAGGAAGTACACTCACTGGATGTTTGTGAATGTATGAAGGGAACTGACCATTGCTGCGCTTTACAAATTGTGGTGATTTGTGCTACGAGTTATTGCCTTTTGTATGTATATTATACAATATACATATTGATGGTAAACACACACTAATATTACATAAAAACAGATATGTTATAGCAAGACAATGGCACAATGCTGACATATAAACCTGCTGCAAAAATAGTTTGTTGACATTGGCGCAAGCGGTATGATTTATCAGTACTGACATTTACTATGATTTATTTCATTATTTTCATTTTTTTGTTGAAACAGCAGCTGGGGAAGTGTTTCCCATGGTGTAACTGTTTATGTGTGTAATTGACTGTGAGTAATTGAGTGAACAAATGGCTGTGTGCTTGCGCATGTATGCACACACACACACACACACACACACACACACACACACACACACACACACACACACACACACACACACACACACACACACACACACACACACACACACACACACACACACAAAGGAAATTCTCAACATATTTCTTCTCTGATTGTCATGTGTTATATGAATATTTGAAGAAATATTTCCTCTCTTCAAGTTTAAGCTTTTCCTTTTATGTGAAAATCAAAGAGTAAATGTAGATAGTTATTTCTCAGTTATAAAGAATCATAAAGAATCAATATTTGTGATTTAATTAATCTCAAGAGTTCAGTTATAAGAGCTGGTGTTGTGTGTCTCGTGAATCCAGTCGTGGAGATAAGACCTATTACATTGCAAAAGTGTTCTTTGCAAATAGCTGACAGTTGGAAGTAGGTAAATATCATATACTTTCTGTCGCTTGATACTGAAAGACTGAGATTTTTTATTAGCTTAGTAGACATGATGACCAATTGGGATGGAATGTTTCATTGTTTATATATTTTAAGAACTTTTGTATTGTATCATTTTACATTTCTATTTACATTTTGATAACTTTTTTGTTAGAGTATGGGTTGTAGCTTTTTAGATGCATTTGTTTGTTTTAATTTTTTTCAGAAGACTTTACAGAAACAATTTTCATTATTGAATAAAAGATATGGCATGTATCAATATTTTAAATGTCCAGTTGTTCACATCATTGGCATTGATATGACAGTGTATCAGTATCCAAATTATCATAATGTCAATAATTTTCTTATATGTTAGATTTTACATGCTATACTCTGCAGAAAGAGCTCACCAAAAGTCAGGTAGAATGCTGAATAATTTATACACTAGATACTGTAGTGATGTACTTATATGGCCAGGTGGAACTGCACATGCGATACATCCAGCTGCAACGTCTCCTGCAGGAGAAGATGTCTGACCTGGAGCGGTTGTGTCACCAGGAGAAGTCCTTGCTGGCTGGTAAGTTGGCGTCATCCCCTGTGCGTCACGCCTTCAACATCGCCCACGCCCGCCTGCTGGACTGGTTGAGGGCTCAGCGTCGCCTTCTCCCGCCCGAACGGGACCTCACCTGCCTCATCCCGACCTCACTTTCCACCTCCACCTCCACCATCCACAACCTGTCTGCTGCCGCCCACCACCCACACTCCACCACTACTACCCCCCGGCATCACCCGGGTGCCTCACACTCACACAAGCACCCAGCCACCGTCACCATGCACGGCCACATTCACCACACCACTCCCACCACCCTTTCTTGCAGGGATGATGTCCCTCGCCTCGAAGACCTTGGGAGAGCGTACACGCGAAGAATGTCGGGTAGGATGTCGCCGCAAGTCCATGACAATAAGAACCAGCTGACAACTGGGGAAATAAAGAATGAGAGTAGAAGGACTGATGATATCAGTGCTCTATATTCACCGTCTTGTAAAGTGATAAATGCGAATATTTTTCAACATCAGGAAAATCAGGGTAATGTACAGGGCTTCATGGGATGGGATGCAAATATTTACTCAGACGGCAGTATAGATTCTCACCTTATTTACGGCTCAAATGCTAATAACAGAATGTCATGGGGTATGAATACCTTCCACGCAAATCAGGCTAACGAGTACCATAGTTTGCCATGTTCTGGGAGGTCTTCTTATCCTCCTTTGCCAACTAGTTGCAATGATCCTCTGTGCAATGCAAACCACTCGCCAGGATTTGCTGTTCAGAAGAGACAACAGGAAGGTGGTGGGGTCACAATGCAGGACGGGGAGGGTAAAGCTTTCCAAAGCCACCGTCGAGCTCTCAGTGCCGAGGCTTGGAGGTGGCCCAGGGACAGAGACAACTGGCATGAGATGCAAAAAAGGAATGAATCTGTAACACCGTTTTCCACATTCTTAGGTCTTGATGCAGTTTCTAAAGAGGGTAATGTGATCATAAAGTCAAAGGGGAGTTATCAAAAAAGGGGGAGCTTACATAGGAAGGACAGCTTTAAGAAAGAGCAAATGATGCAAAATAGTCGTACAGGGAGGGATCCAGATATGCTGAAGAAAAAAGCAGAGGATGATCCTAGGAGGGGTAAAGCCGAATACAAAATGAGCCGGGCATCATCTGTCTCCTGTATGCCAAATGATCAGTGCCTCATGTATGACTCAGTTATAAAGGAGCTCAAAAGTTCTGTGAACCCAGAACCTCAGAACGGAGAGGAACCCAAGTCTCCCTTCGAGAAAATGAGTCTGAGTGGTTTAGAAGAATATGACCGAAGTCCTAAGCATACATCAAGCCTAAAGGGACCCTCAGAATTCAACTTTAGCAGTTCTAGTTTGCCACACAGAAAGGGTTCTAAAACGAGAAAGAAAAAAGATGCGCTACATCCTAAGAAATGCAGTTCTTTAGACGAGGACAAACTTACTAGTATATTTGGATCTGATGATAATCAGAAAATCGAGTATGGTCTTGAGGATAACATAGATTCTTGTTCTGAGATTTCATCGCATGTACGGTCATCAGACCTTCATATGCACCCATTTCTGTCTCTGCCATTTGCATCTGCAAGGTTTGCGCCTTCTCCCTCAGAGAGTCATCCTCACATGGTACGAGGGGGCTCCTTCCATGCACCTTACAGATCTCGGCAGAACTCGGAGGAGAGACCAAGGAGCCTCTCAAGATCCAAAAAATCTCAGGTTTCTTCGAGCACTTCATGGGAGTCGACTAAAAACACGCACAAGCAGAGGTCCTGCACTTCTCTTTGTGAGGGTTCAGGGGAAAAAATTAGGGACAGTACAAATAAGAAGAACGTGCCACCAATATCGCGATCGGAGTCGCTCAGATCTTCCCGCGGCTCGTCCACGCCCTTTATCACGAGAGAATGTATAAAAGGTTCCTGCACTCATAGTACGAAGCCAAGACAGTCGAATCGCATTCCTTTCAAATTAGGTCATGGTGGGGAAAATAAGCAGGAAATCATAGATGGATCTGATTCTTATATAATGAGCCGTATCGTAGGTGGTTACATGAAGGATGATACCGTAGGTAAGGAAAATCTATCAAAAAGTGGAAGTCCTGCAGCCTGGAAAAAATCGTGGAGGGACGATAGACAGAGAACCCATCCTCCAGTAAATGAAATGTTCTCAAAGAAACCAGAATGGAATAGCTGCCATACTGAGAAAAATAAGCGTAGAAATGCAAGTCTCTCTCGAAGGGATGTAGGCCACAAAGACGTGGAGCGTGAATCTGAAGCAAGAGGTTGCATGGGTACAAATTGGATGTTCCCATCACCAAAGAATGATGAAACAAGATCATGGCAGACGTCACGTAAAGCCTCATCCAAGTCTCTGCCTAAACAGAAATCTTGGCATGCTCGACAAGAGCCATCCTTACATCACCAGCCTCACAATCGCGAGTACCAGCAGCACCATGAGCGCAAAACTAGACCAAATTCATTATACTCCTGGACTGGAAGTTGTGAAGGTATCAGTTCCGCAACAGATCACTCTGGAAGGACAGTAGTATCAGCACGCTCTCGTTCTCTTTGCACTGATTCACTTGTTACTCCAGCACGCGAAGTTAATAATTCTGCAGGAGATGTGTATCGCTTTGCTCCAGCCCCACAGGAGCCAAGGCTGCGTTCAGATTCTATGGAAGCACGCTGGTCGTCGGACAACTCCCTAGAGGATCGACCACCCGACCGTCGAGGTGCCACCACTAACTATGATAGTCTATACTCAGAGATATCCAGTGAGTCATCGGTATATGGCACACCTCAGCCTAGGGACTGTCTTGTACCTCGAGAAGACAGAGGTGTCTTGTCAGATGATGAAGCTTCTGTTGACCTTGATGCTACTCCTCGTACCCGGAGGAATGCTGCCCCACGTCGACGGAAGTCTCAAGGGTGCAGGTCAAGTGATGATGTTCCAAGGGCAGTCAGGGCAGTGGGGGAGAGGAATGCCTTTACCCCTCCTGCAACATCATACCCATCATCCTCATGGCCTGGCATGTCTACCAGAATGTCCTCCCCTGCCTCTAGTTCCCCAAGTGGTGAATGGTTCCAGGCTGCAGAGGTGAGCCGGACAGTGGGGGCACTGGCTGACTCCCTTACCGCATACCGTGCCAACCTTGTTTAAATAAATGATTATTGGTGTTTTTCTTTATGTATATCTATTTCAGCCTCACTAGGATTTCATGTTTTCTATGTTTTTTAAATCTGTTCCCTTAATCCTAGCACAGCCTAATGCAGTGGCGATTTATTTATAAGAGAGAGTTCCTGTTAGTGTATATGATTTATTTAACCTATCATGAGCATGTTAATGTTTTAAGCATGTTTTCCTATATGGATATAATAGATGACCTGATACTGTAGCTCTAGCATGAAGCACAATGATTTAAACCATTCCATTATTGTCTCTGATTTAAAGTTTGAAAGATTATAAAGCCTATTATCAATATACTTGTACCTTTCACTGTAAATATGATAGTGCACTCCCTAGCTTTGAGATACTATAATTCATGAGATTGGCAAATTTTCAGTTTCTCAGGAGATTTACTATGATCACCTACATGAACTTATTCATAGTTATTTATAGTTACCATTTTAAAAGCTCAAAACAATAGTAAATCTCCTGATTATGTTAAATGCTTTGACTGCAGACTGTTTGGTGTCACCATGACATACTTGCCTTTAATACACTTCTCTGTAGTTCTTACCTACTTGCCATCAGTTGGACTGAACCTACAGTGATGATGTGTTTATGGCCACAGTCTTGATGAGAACATTCAGATCTCAGTACATCCTAGCACATCCTCCATCTGAGATTGACGCTTCATTGCCTGGTATGGTGGTTTCTTCCTCAGCATGGAGAGCCCAGGGTTTCCGCATCCCCCAGCACCCGGTGTCCGGCCGTCCACACCAGCACCTGTACCATCACCATCACCACCACCAGCACCACCACCACCACCACCACCGGCAACTGCTTCCTGCCTCCAGCACCACCTCATCCCCCCTGCCTACCTCCTCTAGGGTGCTGCCCCCACCCATCCAGTATCGCATACCCCCTGCCAGCCCTTGTAGTGCCCAGAACCCCATAAGACCCCCACAAGATCAATGGGGTGCAATGTCCTCCACCAACTCCCAGTCTCATGCTCCCTCACCACTTCATCACCATCGGCAGCACCAACAACAACAGCAACAACTACAACAACAACAATATCTCCAACTCAGCTGTTCCCCTGGTGCTGTCCGGAGGCCTCATGTGTCTTCTGAGTGTAGCTCTCCAGCCCAAACTATTCACACTCCTCTTGGCTCTGTACCATCTGTCGCTCAGCAGCAATGGCAACAGCGTAAACCACACTCTTGGGATAACTTGCTTTCCACGAGGGCATTTGGTGGATATGGGTTTGGCTATGGGTTTATCGATATCCCCCTCGTGGAGCTGGCAGGGGTGAGAAGTTGCGGTCAGTTAGCACCCATCGCTTGAGGGAGGAGGACAAGGAAAATGTGGCAGGCGGTGGGGGAGGGGTGCGACCTTCGCCGCGATCATCAGAGAATCTTGTTTCCCCTCTGGATGGCTCCTGCTTTTCTTGTGACTGCTTAAATCTCGATCCAGCACCTCTTCACACATGCCTCTTTTCCAAGCCTAAGAGCACTGAAAGCCTCTTGGCACCACGTTCCCTCCACCCTGCTGCCTCTGACTCAAGCTTGGCAGGAGATCCTCAACATACTAGGCGACGTTCTCGAGCTGCTTCCTTAGCTGACTGCCTTGGTGCCACCAGACACTCTCCTCCAGACCAGGATGAAATGACGCACCTGTGACACTGTTAAAGGTTCAATTTGTTAATTCATTTCACCTCATGTAATTCTTTTATTAACATTTTTTTTTACCTAACAAAAATACAGTAAATGTATATCTTTGATATAAGGCAAATGAATTTATAGTTTTAAAATGAAGGGTTAGTAGATGTACACTTTTTCTAATGAAGCACATTTTAGAGTCCTCGTATAGTCAGTCCCTTCATACAAGGATAAATGATAGAATACCCTTCAACAAAGACAGCTTTGCACCTTGTATCATACCCAATATTGATTTTAAAAATATTGTAGTGAAGATGGTTAGAGTGAACTATACTTCACAATAGGTAGTAAGCTCTTTCTTGTCTATGAGAAGTAGAGATGCACAAGAATTTTGACAGTGTAATTGTAGTTATTTTCTCAAAGAATTAATCATTGCAAGATTCTCAGATACCGAGTCACAGCAAGATATGCAGTTATAGATACAAAACAATTATTTCTAGACATTTGAAAACCAATATCTGGAAATTATGATAGCAGTTTAGAAGTGATAAAGTAATTGCATAGATATGTCATTGCCCCCATTCTAGAAAATAATACAGGCTGAACCTCTGTATATGCTAATATGTGGTTCTTTGGCTTGATCAGAGGGTAACAGGAATCCGTGTCTGGGGGCCACATCTTTTTTATTACATTTGCTAGTCCCTGCTAGTCCTGGCTGTAATTGTTCTATGCTTACATTCAGTGTAATTTAAGTTAGCTGTTTCCTTGTATGACATAATGGAAGCTGAAACATATATATATTAATCTATACCCATATCACCTAAACCAAACTAGCTTTTTTTACGGTATATTATATTTTTGCATATGCTTCGTCTAACTATTTCCTTGTGCCAATATCTCAGATGTATTGTGGAACGACATACTATGTAGGTAATCAGTGATCTTAGGCTAGACGGATGGCTTACTTTAGAAGTACTGGTACAGGTAAATATTGATACTAGTAGTTTGGAAAAGCCTCCCATTTGTTTATTGAAAGATACATTTGTGTTTAAAGGATTAGAGAGGTTCAGCCTGTAGACATTTTGATTAGTGTATTTTTATGAGTGAATCAAGTAATGACCATTCATCATATGAAAGAAAATCAATTATATATTCATTTGCTATGCCATTTTGATTCTGGTTGAGGAATAGTTGTAGGAACAAGGGGTATAATGATGACCGAGATAGTGATGATCACTATTGGACAAGTAAACAAGTATATCAGGATATTTTAAAGTAATTTTTTGTTTTTCAGATGTATTCTTTTCCCTTCACTACTGAAGTGCTTAATCTAAATTTAGTATAGTTGAATATCAAACTTATAAGAGGATGTAGACGCTGATATGACCATTAAGAAAGAGAAATAGACTTTTTATCTATTAATTTCCATGTACCATTCTTTTAATACTGACTGATAGTCCATACATTGCACACTGTATGTGTTACAATCTCAGCTGATATTCTGGTAAGTCCTAGAAAAAATATATAAGCATAAGTGTAGAAGTGGACAAGAATATCAAGCCACTGTATGTATGGACATGATATATAGCAATGTTGGGTACTATAAACTGCCATGTCGAAATACATTTCGGTTTATATAGATACTACACTGTATGGATTTTTCCAGAAACTCAGAGACATTAGGAGATGTGTGGGATGGATGACCTCGAAATCGACAGGTATTCTTTTTTCACTTTTCCCTCACATTTTTTTGGATCACGCAAGTGATTAGCAATTATTGTACAAGTGTATTGTCTCTAACGATATGAATATTTTGTTAATTTGTAATGTGCCATAGTAGATATTAGTGATGCATATGTAACATGTGCCAAAGCAAGGTCTCAGTAAATGTAAAACAGTATTTCAAAGTTTGACATGAACAATACTGGGAGAAATGCAACCACTAACATAAACTGTTTTTTGTTCATCCTTGAAATTTGTATATTTTCATTTTGGTGGCACTCAGTCTGGAAAGCCATGGAATGTAAAAAGAAATGGATAGACTGACAAAGGTGTACATCAAACTAGTAGGGGCGTCGACAACCAGGCTGGGCCCCTGGGCCCCAAAGGTAGTAATTTCCGTTTGTACTTCGCGGGCCTTGATGATGCTGGAAGTGAATTCTACTATTTTTTTAATTCACTTCTGTTGATGAGGATATTAATATGGTTATTTCAGTAGCGTAAATAGTTAATAAAAAAATCCTTTCGTGTGTTCCTAATAGCGACTGGAGACTGAGACTTCTACGCTTTGATTTTTCTTAACTGATAATGGTAAATCTAATCGGGAATTGAATTATTCACATCGATAGTACGCTAGAAAATGATATTGTTTTAGCCATCTCATTTGATTACTTGTACCTACGCAAGTATCCAGTAAAATTATTTACAAAGGCAACCCTGTGGCAATTGCCCCTTAACCCTCCCTCCCCCTCTCGACGCTCCTCTAAATATATATATTTCCTTCTGCAACAAGGGCGCCGCGGAACGTTAATGTACCTTCCGTTAATTTGACTCTTGTATGCAAATCACATCTGCCCACGTATGGGCATGTGTCACGGATACAAGAGTTGAGACTGGAGATTCACAAACTTGGAAGTGGAGGGCACTATACACACGCTACGTATTAGCACACGCACACACATGTGAACACGCAGCATACACACGCAACACACACACGCAACACACACACGCAAGACGCACGTGCAACAAGCATGCGCACACAACACGCACCCACGCACCCAACACACACGCAAACACGAACGCACACGGAACGCACCACAAACACACACACACACACACCACACACACACACACACACACACACACACACACACACACACACACACACACACACACACACACACACACACACACACACACACACACACACACACACAACAACAACAACAACAACAAAACACACACAACACACACGCCTCACGCACGCGCACGCGCACACACATACACGCACACACACGCACGCACACACACGCATACACACACACACATACACGCACACACACACACACATACACGCACCACACATACACGCACACACATACGTGGCACACACATACACGCACGCACGCATACACGCACGCCACATACACGCACGCACACATACACGCACGCACAACATACACGCACGACACACATAACGCGCGCACGACATTTACACGCACGCACACACACGCGCGCACACATACACGCAACCATACACGCACCACACATACACGCATACACACACATACACGCCCACGCATACACGCACACAACAGACATACACGTACACACATACACGACCCACACGCATACACCGCACACACACATACAACCACAGCAAAGGAGGAGGATTGAGAGGAGGAGAAGGAGGAGAGAAAAGGAAAGGCGAAGGAGGAGGGGTGAGGGGAGACACGAGGAGGAGGCGCAAACAGAAAGCGAGAAGCCGTGACACACAAAGGAGGAAGAGATGAAGGGAGGGAAAGGAAGGAAAAAGGAGAAGGAAAAAGAGGGAAAGACAAAGCAAATTGTGAGTGAGAAAAAGGCAGGAATAGGAGCGAAGAGGAGAGAAGTGAAAACCGGAGTGAGAGGAGAAAGGGGAAGTGGGGGATGTGGGGAGAAGGAGAAACGAGAGATAGGAGCGAAATAGAAAAGAGGGATACACAACGGAGCCAAAGAGAGGGTAGTGCACCAAGAGGAGACACAAAGCACAACAGGAGGAGAAATGAAGGAGAATGGAATGAAGAGAAAAGAAACAGCGGGAAGAGGAAAGCAAAGAGGGGATGGGAAATATAGAACGCTGGGGAAGGGAGAGCTTCCGAAACAGGGGAAGAGAAGAAAAGAGAAATTAGGTCACACACACACAGCACACACACACACCACATGGAGGTTAGAGAGGAGGACGAGGAAGGTAGGCCAGAAAAGGAAATAGAATAATGAGTAAGCACGCAAACACACAGAATCAAAGACAAAGATAGGAGAAAGGAGGCGAGATATTGGAGGACACAACACCTAATGATAGATATTGGAGACATACGTAGAATCAACCACACCTGAAGAACAGGAATGGAACGAAAAAAGAAGAAATAAGGGAAAACGGATCAAAATAATGCAAAGTGAGAAGGATAATCGAGAGTGGTACACAATAACAGGGGCACAAACACACATAAGAGACAGGATAACAGATAAAAGGGAGCACAGATAGAACACAAGTCAGGGCACACATAAGCGCACCAACTAAAGGGCCCATATAAAGTGAGTCAAGACAGAGGAACAAGAATAGAACGCTGGAGTAGGTGAAAACAACTACAAGGATATGAAAGGGAGAAGAGGTAAAGAAAAGACACAGATGGCGAGAGCGTGCAGACGAACCACACAACACTAACCTCACACTTACAACACATTTCACACCACACAACACTACACAGACAATTACACACACATACTCTCACACACCTTCAACACGACAGACACAGACACACAGCACCAACATTTATTTTTATCGAGTTAATATTTCATTTGCATTACCACTCCAGTATAAGACATTCTAGAGCACACAAAAAGGAAGTTCCAAACCTTTTTATGGGGTCTATATCCAGACTGAAGGAAACGTAGAGAGCCGAAGGTGAAGGTGGCGAAGGGTAGAGAGGGGGGTGAAGACAGGAGGGAGAGAGAGGTCGATTAGGCACATGCACACAGTCGGAACGACACACATGCCACACAATTACATACCCATCACAGCACTACACACAACGGGTTGGCGATTACACAGGAAAAATCCCAGGACCAAACTCGGTACACACAAAACCAATTATCCACGACACTCACCCAACCGCCCCGTCAGCTAATAATCCACACCACCACACGCAACACACACAGTGAAGGCACCCCGTTGATAACAACGACCGGGGCAAACTACCAGCCACCACACACCACCACACATCGCCTACATACTCCACCACATCCACTAGGGGCACACCGCC